TCTTCAGATCTTTACGAAACCAATGATATTGGTAGGATTTCGGGATGCTCGCGCGACGACGCGCGCGTGTCGATGTTGTGTTTCGTTTTAGGTGAGACTATTGAAACTTGTTTTTGCTGGTTAGCACGTGTGAGCGCAGAGCACTGTCTAACCGGAACGAGCGGGCGGGGGTCGATAGCGATAGTCCCTTGCACGATGAGGCAGATTCATTTGCGATTTGCAGTGTCCCAGAAAGGGGTGATGCTTCCGGGGGGGAAAAGGGTGGCAGAGTTCATTTTCTTTTCAAGGCATACTCATGGGGTGGTAGCCTCGTGGTGCACAGTAGATTGCGCCATCAATGTTAAGCGATAGGTTGCGCAATGCAATTCAAGTGCTGTCATCTATGCGGTGCAATTGGCTACCCTGCACCGCGCTTGACCACCTGCCATGTTCTTGCAAACATCCCACCCACCCACCCTCAACTTGGTTAGCAAAACCCATGCGGTGGCGATTGCGGTGCATGCTTGGCGATGGCTGTTGCATCTCTGCGGCCGCGCCAACCCTAGCACGCGCGCGCAGCGGCCAGCTAGTTTGGCGCGACCGACGCGGCCGCGGTGGCGCTGACCGCTGGGCACATCCCCGCGGGCCCTTCAGTGCGAGTCGGCGACCTGGGCGGGCGCAGTATCATGGCAACGTCGACATCGGTAGACACGATGGCGATGCTGGTGGCGATGTTGACAACGACAACGGCGCGGCCAGTGCGGGCGCCGATGCTGATCACGCCAACGACGATGACGGCGCCTTCGTGTCGGTGATGAAGGTTCGGGAAAGCGTTCGACATGCGCGCGCGGCCGACGCGCGAAAGTTGCCCGCATGGTGTTATTTGAGACGGATCGCCCCCCCCCCCCCCCAGCACGCGCGCAAGGGCGTGCGAATGATGTAGGCATGCGGCGCCAGAGGCCCGTGTGGCACACTTTGATGACAATTCCACGTTGGGGTTCCATTACATGGAAAGTGGTTGTATTAAGGATTCGCAAGAGCGCTTGCGCACACTTTTTCGACAACTGACATTGCGAAACCACGTTGGAAAAACAAAAAAAATGCAGTTTTTGAAGGATTCCGGCATGCGCGCGCGTCGACGCGCGCGTGCGCACTTCGTCCCATTTGTTGCAAAAGATCCATGCGACGGCGCGCGCGCAAGGGCGTTCGAACGATTTCGACACCCGCGCGCGCGAAGCCCGTTTGGTAGCATTCTCTGAAACTGTTGAAACATCTTTGTTTTTTCTCAAGAATTCGCAAGAGCGGGCGCGCATGCTTTTCCCTCCCGAAAATCCGTGCTGCGAAGCCGTATGTTTCAACATGTCCTTTTGGACACTCGATTTTGACATCATTGGGAAACCGAAGGATTTTGAAGGATGTTCGCATGCGCGCGCGACGACCCGCGCGTGTGTGCACTTTGTTTCATTTTTGTGCAAGGGCTTCTTGGACATTTATGATTGTCTCAACGAGTGCGCGCACATAGCTTGGTTTCCCGAGGATGGCGAAGCGGGTGGACACCGGCCTGGCTGAGATGATACGAGTTCATATTACGGATGGACGATGGGGCACAATCGTATGCAATTTGCAACACGAAAGAGGTGGATCGATAAAGCCCGGGGGATCCATATTCCTTTTTTGCAAGGAAACTCATTTGCCGAATTTCAGAATTGTCCAGTCCACTTGCTCTCGCAATCATCCCACCCACCCGCAATTTGGCTTGCAAAACCCATGCGGAAGCGATGGCGATGAGTGCTGGATGTTGGCCGGTGCATCTCTGCGGCCGCGCTAGCCCGCGCATGCTGGCGCGCGCAACGGTCAGCTAGTTTGGCGCCACCGGCGCGAATGCGGTGGCGTTGACCGCTCGGCACATCCCAGCGGGCATTTCAGTGTGAGTCGGCGACTTGGGCGGGCGCGGTACCATGGCAACGTCGACAAAGGATGACACGATGATGATAGTAGCGATCTTGGCGACAATGCTGGCAGCGTCGACAGGGCAGCCAGTGACGGCGCCGATGCTGATCACGCCGGCGACGATGACGGCGTCTTCGCGTTGGTGATGAAGGTTTTGGAAAGAGTTCGAAATGCGCGCGCGGCAGACGCGCGAACGCGGCCCGCATGATGTTAATTGACACGGATCGTGCCCCCCGGTACGCGCGCAAGGGCGTTCGAGCGATTTCGCCATGCGCGCGCGTGGCCCGTTTGGTGGCATACCGGTTGGGCTGGAATGATACGAATTCATACTAAGGATGGACGATGGGGCTGAATCGTATGCAGATTGCACTACGAAAAAGTGGATGGATAAGGCTGGGGGGGGGATCTTCGTTTTTTGGGGGGGAGGGAGAATCGATGTGGTGTGCGTTCTTCGGTGCAGTGCAGATCGACGAGGGGGCGACGCACGGCGACGATCGGCGACGGGGCGGCAACGGGCGGCGACGAGCGGCGACGGTGCGGCGACGGGGCGACCACAAGGCGGCCAAGGCGACACACTAGCTCAGCCGCCGGGCGGCCACGGGCGGCGACGAGCGACGACGGGGCGACCACAAGGCGGCCGGGGCGACACGCCGGCCCAACTCCCGACAGCATAAGTAAGAAACCCGTACGTAGACCGCATGCACTGTTTGGGAAGTAGATGCAAGCCGTACGGTGCAAATCGTGCTGCTGTGACACAGGATGGATGTTCTCTGCGTGGGAAGCTCAGCGTTATGCAAGATATACAATTATGTGGACTTGGGTATGTATATATATATATATTGCAATAAAGAGCACATCGTGGCCACGAGCAGACGTGGGACGGGTGCGGCGGCGACGTGGGACACGAGGCGTCGAGCAGCAGCAGCAGCAGCAGTAGCAGCAGCTTAGGCGCGGCTGATCGATTGACTCACCGGGACGATCGGAGATGTAGGGGAACGGCCGCGGAGGACGGTAAAATAACGCCTGCGCTTACAGCGTGAACAATCAATGCCGATAAGCGCGAATACAGCGCACCTGCCAGATTAAGAAAGCAGAGTCGTAACAAAAAACGAATGCATAACTTGAGCCGCAACAAGACAAGTGATATATTGCGGTGTGTCGGTGGAGTTATGGTGTGCAAGTTGTGCGGTGCAAGCTATATGGTGCAAACTTTCCAGTGTGACCTATTCGGTGCAAGCTATGTCGTGTAAGCTAAAGTGTGTAAACTATGTGGGGTAAACGATGTTGCGTAAGCTTCGGGGTGTGAGCTGTGTGGCGCGAGCTATGTCGTGCCAGCTATGAGGTGGAAGCTCGATTGGGTAATCCATGTGGTGCGATCTATCTGGTGTCAGCTATGTTGTGTGGTGAAAACGGGGCAATGCAATGCGCGCGATGGACGGCATGCTGTGCAAGCTTTGTGGCGTAAGCCGTATGACTTGTGAGCCATGCGCTGCAAGCTGTGTGGTGCAAGCTGGATGGCGTGAGCTGTGCTGTGCAAGCCGTGTGGTACACAACCGCACGAGAGGGCACGGGCGCCCACGGGCGGGCACGGGCGCCCACGCGGCGAAAGCTTGAAAACCACCCGCTCGGCGCACGGGGCGTCGACCCGGCGCCCACGAGCGGGCGCGGGCCCCGGCGCGGCGAGTGCTCCCGAGACTCGCCCCGAGCACGGGGGCGCCCGCGAGGCGCCGACGCGCGGACACCGTGCGCGCCGGCGCGGCGAGCCCTCGGGAAGCCCACCGCGCGCGGGGGGCGCCCACGCAGCGCCCACGCGGCGCGCACGCAGCGCCCGCGGTGCGCGAATGCTCGGGAGACCCACCGGCCCAGAGCACGAGGCGCCCCCGAGCCGGCACGGTCGCCAGCGTGGCGAGAAAGCCCGGTCGGGTGTCGCCAGAAGTGTCCCTGGCCCAAGGTGCCCCCGGGATTTCCAAGGAGGCCCCCGCGGCCTCCAGAGCACCCCTCACGAGGCCCAGGGGGCCTGTGGGCTCTAAAGTTGAGCGAAAAGCTGGGGGCACCTTGAGCCAGGGGCACCTTTATCAACCCCCGACCTGGGGAGCCCATCCAGCTCCTGAAGGAGCGGAACCAATTTGAAGTCGGGCGTGTCCTTCTGAAGGAGGAAAAGTAAAGCAAAATTGTCAAAAATAGTCTGGGGACGATGTTTTGCCTACCGCGTCGATGTTTGGGTATTTTTTTGTCATCTTCCACCCTCCAAATTCCGCCTGTAGGAGGACATGCCCGACCTAAAACTAAGCACCCCTCAGTGCACGCACCGCTTCTGCGCGGATTTATTCAATCGGCGCTGCAACCCCTCCCCCTGGCGGCGCCTCTGGCGCCCTCTTGGGGTGCAGGGGCCCAGCGCCTATTCAAGACGCGCGAACCTCCGAGAGTGTTGGAGTTTATGCAGATTGCTCCTTGTCTGAGGAAGGAGTTCGCCCTGGATTCCCTCCCCGATGCCGGTTCCTCCTCGGATTCCCTGTCAGCAGCCGCGTGGGAAACCATTTTCAGCAAACGCAAGCGAGACTCGTGACGAAACGCAAGGAGGGCATGAGAACAAGGAGGGGATGAGGAGGACGAGGACGAGGAAGGGAGGGGTGACAGAAGATGTGGCAGCTCAACCTGGCGTGGGAAGCCCAAGGTGGCAAGCCACCCCCCTCGCCGTGAAGGAAAGGGATCCTGAGGGAAACGAGTCCTGTCTGTTCTTCCGATTTTCAAGCTCCTGAAATCCTTCCTTGGCCCCCAGACTGAGGTAAGGAGTCAGAATGAACAGTTCACTTTGCAAGAAGCCCCGAAGTCCAGTGGATTAGGATCTATTCTCCTCAGGAACCTCATCCCTCTTCCCCCACTGGAACCGCCTCGCCCCACGCCGTTTCCCTTCTCTTCCTTTCTGTCTTCGGTTTGGGATCGATGAATATGTTTTGGCGCTCGCACAGGGGAAGAATCCGAGAAAACACGCGCGGACCGAACGGCTCGCTCCATTGTAGGCCAGCGCCCCCGCGCCCACGTTCGCCCACGCGCCCTGTGTCGCAGCCGCCATGCCGAGCTGGAGTAGGAAGGCAACAGCAGGCCCTGGCGAGACAGGCGCCCAGGAGGAAGAGGAGGCGGGAGCATGCGATTCCGGTCTATGTCCGAAGTGGGGGTCAATCGATTTCGGTCCTCAGCATCGCATTCCCGGCAGGCGTGCAGGCCCTTCCCAATGTGCCAATGTGATTGTTTCGCGCTCTGTTTGTCTCGTTACGTATTTCTAGCGCGGGTGGACAGAGTGGGTATCGATATTGTCTTGCCCCCAATCTCCAGTTGTCTTGGTGAGGCATTGCGGGAGGCACTGGCCTTGCAGTCGCAGTCACAGCTGCGAAGATGGGTTTCGGATCGCATCGCCATGGCGAACACATTGGGTGGAAACGCGTTCCGGCAGTAGTCATGCTTTGACGCATGTCAGGCGTGAGTGCGCGATACAGTTCTGCTTGGTGATGTCCAGACTACTTTTTGTCACGATCTTGTGTTGCGGCACTGCAGTTGCGAGATGGTTGCTAGGGAGCGCGTGTGCGTGCTTATCACGCGCATGACGCAAATACACGTGCGCAGGTGCTAGCCCGAGACGTGTGCCGACCTGAGGAGTAGAGCCCCACATGTCAGATGTTGATATAGTCCTGCTCTGCATGCGATCAGGTGACCCCTGGGGGTGCGGTTGTGAATGCCGCGTTGTGCGTCGTGGCTTGGGCCTGAGAGGAATTTCCATGGGGGAGCACTGACGGGGGGCGTCAACATCTACACCCTCTTCCCGCACTTTGGCTCAGTTGCAGCAGCCGTTTCCATGGTCTCCCTCCTTTGCTTGTCTTCTGTCATCAAGTGAGAGCTGGCGCAGCGCGCCCGCGGCGGGACACCATGTGTTCAGGTTGGCATGCTTTACAGGGACTTAGGGGTGCTGCTATGATTTGCTCAGGATCATGGTGTTTAACTGTGCTTTGCGAACTATGTACCAATCGGTCTCCTCCTCCTCTTCCTCCTCCTCCTCCTCCTCCTTCTCCTCCTCCTCCCCCTCATCCGTAGCCATTTTGGCTCAAGGTCCCAATGTTGCTTGGCATGGCGCCAAGAGGCTTACACGGCATACCCTTGTTCCAGGGCCAGCTCAGGATTGCCTTTACGCTCTCCTTACATATCCACGCGGGTTTGATTTTTTGTGGTGCCGCGGCCACCTCCATATTGGCGTTCGAGAGTCCAGACCCGGTGGTCCACGGCGAGCTCCCAACATGCCCGAGACGAACGACCTCGCCACCATTCGTGATCGTCGCGAACGAAGCCCTCGTAACAACAAAGACCCCTGGCAAGATGCAGCACAAAAGGAAAGACTTGACCAATTCCGCTCCGAGATCGAGAAACATCTGGCCATTCAAGTTGCTGACGCGGCTGAACAATTGTTGTCGCTTCGCGAATCCCCACCAGCCCATCCAGAAACGATGCCCAGAGGAATTGCCTCGATCAGAGAAGTGGGCAGCACACAGAGGAAGCCATTATGAGACATCTTGGGATATCTTGAGCCATCTTGGAGGTCATTTTGGGCTCTCCCAGACGCTCTTGGAGTCATCTTAATCCGTGCCCCCCCCCAAGAGGCCTCCATGTGGCTAAAACCTGTGTAGAATCAATGATTAGGCATTCTCGCCGAGGCCTCTTGGAGCATCTTGGGTGCATCTGGGGGGGCTCTTGGGGCCTCTTGGGGGTCTCTTGGGGGCCTCCGGGGGGCCTCTTGGGGGCCTCTTGGGGCCATTTTGGGGCCATCTTGGGACCTCTTGGGGCTTCCTGGGCGCTTCTTGGGGCCATCTTGGAGGAGTCGATCAAACAAGAGGGGGGGTGAATTAGCGCCCCCCCTCGGAAGCCCCTAAAATCGCCTCTTGGACCCCTCTTGGAACGCTCTTGGAGTGCTCTTGGGCGCTCTTGGGGCCGTCTTGGGGCTCTTTTGGGGCTCTCTTGGGGCCCTCTTGGGCCATCTTGGAACCATCTCCAGGCCTCGGATGGCCATCGGAAGCGAAAAGGCGAGAAAGCAAAAATCATTGATTTTCCTTAGGTTTTGGGACGATTTTGGCCTCTTCGGGGCCTCCTTGGGGAGCTGTTTGGCCACTTGGAGTTATCTTGGGGCCGTCTTTGGGCTTCTTGGAACCATCTTAGGAGCCATCGTGAGCGATCTTGCGCTATCTTGAGCCATCTTGGAGCTCATCTTGGGTTCTCTGAGGCGCTCTTGGAGCCGTCTTGGGCCATCTGGGACGCTCTAACTACCCGCGGCCCCCCCCGTCCAGGTCCAGGGGAGGGGGTAGGGGGAGGGGTAAACCCCTCCCCAAGGGGGAAGAGGGAGGGGTGGAAGAGGATCTGCTCTAGACCACCTACGCCCAGAGGGCTGGTGGGATTCAAGGCTACCGCAGAGAAAGTTGCCGCTTCGTCTCAAGCCAGCTTCATCACGCACATCACCAACATCACAGCCAAGCTCACCGAACGCCAAGACCACGTCGAGAACGACATCGTCTCCCTCAAGCAGCGCATCTCCGCCTCCGAAGTGGAATCCAAGAACCTCAACGACGCGGTGGACAAGCTCAAGACTGCCATTGCCCATGCTGAAGCCCAGGCTCCCTCGCTCGACGTCAGCAACATCGGATCGTGGGACAGGGCACCGCACATCGGCACCTTTTGGATCGCCTCCACCGTGGACATCACACAAGCATCTCTCAAGTCAGCCACCGCCGAATGGTTTTCGGCAGCCAATATCGACGTGTCTATGGTACGCTACAACAACTCCGCTCCTGCCAAACGTGTTTCCATCACTGTACTCGGAGCCGATGCTGTCGCTGTACCACGTGCTCAAGCTCTTCACCATCATCTGCGCATTGGTCGGGAATGGCGTACATTCACGATCGGTGGCGCCCCATGCTACGTCAGCGCAGACAAGAGCCCCAAGCTCGTCAGGCAGGGGATCCAGCTCAAGAAGCTGGCAAGGATTGTCAACAACGCCAAGCAGGACCTCAACCCCAAGATCCACCGCGCCGATGGCTACCTCTCCATCGACAACGTGCCCATCGTCCGCATCCAAGTGGGCTCCCGCCCTGAGATTGCGACCAAGATCCAATGGTCTGATGCTGCTGATGGCGTCGGCCTTACTCCTGCGATGCTGTCTTCTTGTGCCGACGCCCTTGCCGCTGCCTTCGCGGATGCAGCCACGTCAGCGTCGTGGATTTAACAGCAAGTGGACTCCATGGAACGCGACTACCGCATCATCTATGACCGAGTGCTCGGTGGTCAGCTGGAACGCCCAGGCGCTGGTACACTCGAACATCGTCAAGCGAGACGCCAAACTCTCCATCCTCAAGCCCTACCTCGCCAAGCGCCCCCTCATTGCCATTCAGGAGACACACGGCGCCTCGCAGATGATTCACAGCCTCGTCAATTCCACGGGCGCAAAGTACGACGTCTACCACAGCGGCATCCCCGACTCCAATGCGGCGGGCGGCGTCGCCTTCCTCATCCCAAAGTTCGTCACCAGCAGCGACCAGGACAACGCCAAGCCGTTGATCAACTTCTCCGTGGTCATCCCTGGCCGAGTTGCCGAACTGCGCATCCGCGACCCCAGCCTGGTGTACCTCCATATCTACCTCAACATCCATAACCATGATCTCTCCGCAGATGACCGAAGACGGCTCAAGTCCACGTGGCAAGTGGCACTGAATGAAGCTAACAACGATCCTGAACACGTGATGTTCTTCATGCTCGGCGACTTCAATATCTCTGAACTACCCGCTCGCAATCTACTGCGCCCTGTCGAAGTGCCTGCTCACGAACGATACCAGTTCCAGCCCACCTTCTGGAAGCAGCTCTTCCGACCGCTGGTCGAGATCTGCACGCCATCCACCACCCACCGCTGCTACGCGAACAACACCGAGTCGAGCATCGATCGCTTCTTCACCTCCTTCCTGGCACACAATCTCACCCACATTGAGACGATCATGGTTGCCGACGACTCGCCACTCGAACGAAAGGGAATACCTGCCAGTGACCATAAACTTCTTCATGTTCGATTCCGCCCCCGAATTCAACGGCCCCATGCTGAACGAGGCATCCCCGCCTACCTCTTCAACTCCGACTTCTACAAGCTCTTCATCGACAAGCTCTCCGCCGACACCGAGTACGACACGCTCACGCCCATCATCAAGTGGCGCACGCTGAAATCCAACATGACGAACGCTGCGAAAGCCACGCGAGATGCTCTTGCGCGGCTACCGCCTGAAGTTCTTGCACGCGACCATCTCTCGATCCCCAAGGAAGTCAACTCGATGACCATGAGGGGCATCTCTCGCGCGGTCTGGTACCAGGACATCAAGCTCGCGCGCCTCCTTATCGACACCACCCACCTGGGCTCCAAGCACTCGCAGATCATCATCGACAACTCTACCGACATCCCTTCGAGCAAGGTTTGCCTTATCAGCGCCAACGCCTTCGCCGATGCCGCTGCTGAAGCCCATGCTGCTGTCGCTGAAGAACGTCGCGCCCTCGCTGCCGCACGTGCCCGTGATGCTTATCAACGTCTACAGCGTCAACAAGGGGACAGGTGGCGGAAACAGGCCAGTGCCACGCGCAGACTTGGAGAGCTGTGGAAGCCTTTCTCCAAGCGTCTGGTGCTCGCTGGTATCCGAATTTCGCAAGGCAGCTCCTCCGGCATTGCCAAGACGCCGACGGACATGCACGACGCTATACTAGCGCACTGGGGCCCGATCTTCGCTGACAAACCAGTGAACATCGCCAACATGAACGTCTACCTGGACTCTGTCTTCGCCCAGCGCGACTCTGTTGCGCTGGATCTCCCCAACGCTGAAGAACTACAAGACGCAGCAAAACGAGCACATGACTCCGCCGCAGGTCCTGACGGTCTTCCTTACAAAGCTCGGACGTCCACTCCCAACAGTTTCGAGATCCTGGAAGAGCTCGTGGCCAACATCTCGGTCAACAACATCATCCCGCACGATTGGAACCACGCACTACTCGCCATGCTTCCAGAAGGTGATGCGCCTGCAGGACACTCTTGATGCCATCGGTCGCCAGACCAACTCCGCCCTCTCGCGATGAAGAACACCGACGTAAAGATTGCTGCCTCCGCCATCAACCGCAAGCTCCATCCGATAGTCAAGCAAGTGTCGAGTATCCAACGAGGTTTCGTTCCTGGCCGCCAATTCCTCAACAACATAGTCGAAGCCGACACGTGCAGCCGCATCTACAGCACCATGGACAACGCCGCCGAGCTCATGCCGTGCTTCCTCAGCATGGACATTGCCGCCGCCTTCCCAAGCCTGCTTCACACTTGGTTATGGGAAGTGATTCGCAGATGGGGGATTGGTGGTCGCGCCCTTCGCCTCCTCCAGTCCTTCTACGCCTCGCCCATCGCCTTCCTCGAGCTGGGAGGCACACGTCGACCATTGCTCGTTGCAGGCAGCGGCGTAGCTCAGGGGTGCCCACTCAGTGGCACCATCTGGGCCCTGGTATTCGACCCCATCCTATGCGGAATTCAACGCCACTTCTCTCAGATTGGCCGTGGCATGGCCAGTGCTTGCGCCGACGACATTGGTTGCGTTTTAGCGCGCTTGCGTGACATGCAAGGCATCCTACCGCATACCGAGGCGGCCCTCACACTCGCGGGGCTGATGCTCCAACCTCGGAAGTGCGTGCTCGTCCCAGTCTGGGCCAACAGCTTCGAAGACGTCGACAACACCATGCGCGACACGCTCGGGGCGATCAACCCCGCCTGGGCCCAATTCAAGATCGACGGCAAGGCCAAGTACCTCGGAGTCTACATCGGCCCGTGTGCTGATGATCGTGCACAATGGGCCGCCCCTGCGGCCAAGCGGTACCACCGCACCCAGATATTGGGCGACGCCTCCGCGGCCATCCAGCTGAACGTCTCGCTGTACAACACCTCCGCGATCACATGCCTCACCTACGTCGGACAACTGTTTCCAGCTCCAGAACTGGTTTTTTCTAAAGAAATTCATGCCCTTCATAAAGTTATCAGATCTGCTCCTTCAGCATTCACCAAGCTCGACATCCTCGGCATGACGAACTGGGCGGGCTGCGCCATCCCCATCGGCGTCGAAGTCCTGCTAGCTGCCACGCTGTGGCGCTCTGCTACTTCCACCATCAACGTCTGGCCCCAGCTTCTCGAGCTACACCATCAGGCAGCAGTTGAACAGCTGCCACTCGCACAAGTTGTCCAGGGACTTTGGACCGCGCCGTGCTGGGCCTCCGCTACCTCGATCGCGCAGCACCTGCGGGCGGCCAAGTTCGGCGACAACTACTCCACCCACAAGGGCACCATCTTCAAGATCATCAAACGCAGCCGCCACCACGATCATCAGGCTCACCGTCAGCTACGCCAAGCTCATGAACTCGCCCGTGCCGCTGCTCTTCGCGTCCTGGACAAACTTCGCCGCGCTGAAGATGATCCTCCGAAGAAATCACCACAAACCACATACATGATCACGCTGCAGCGCTCGCTCTACGAAGACTCTTTCGACGCCACCATCGCCGCCCGCCTTCGGGCCTGGTTCCCCACCCTCCCGTCGGCGCCGTCTGCTACCATATCCGACTCAGGACGCCTCCAACGATTCCCACCACTTCATCTACAAGTTCCCAACACGCCTGATGACGATGACAACGACATGCGAAACGCAGCCAACGAGCTCGAGACCATCGCCGAATGCCTGCAGCATTGGGCCTCCGACTGGCTGCCTTCGATATACCTCACACAACAACACCATGAATGGGACGTCGACGACTGGCATGAATGGTGCGAAACCTTTATTATTCGTCATCTCCGTCGTGGCGGTCTTCAAGTCCTTTTTCGTGGTCAAACAGATGCCCAACTCCGCCGGCGTGCTGAACGTATTTGCGCGCAGGTATGGCAGTCAACCGCGGCCTCCAGACTCCAGACCACCGCTGCGTTCAACCTCCCCCGTACCGCCCAACTACAGCAGAGGTTCGATCGTGCAGCTGCCGAACACCATGCTCGGCGTCGCTGGATCCACGACGCCGACTTCCAGAACAACGACTCGGACTCCACGCCCATGATCACCGACGATCTCACCAACGCGTACGCAGACGACAACGACATGACCTCCCTCATCCAATTACCGTTCAACGTGAAGACCGCGTGGAACCGCCTCCGCCCGAAGCTCGCCGAGTTGCCGCCGTCGCGCTTCTGGCCCGTGATGAAGACGCTATCGGGCGGGTGGGCCACGTCTTACCGCATGCACGTACAGCCTATCCTTCGTGGTTGCGTTCTTGGCTGCAACCCAAAGTTTCACCCCGACTCTTTCAGCCACTATCTGGTCTGCAAGCGCCTGTGGCACCACGCTGCGCTTCCTCGCGGACGACTTCATCGATGTGTACTTGCTAGGCTTGGCTTGCACGACACCAATTTCGACCCGAACGGGGCCACCGATGACCAGATTGACCACGTGCTCACGCGCCTCGCCGTGGCCTACAGGTTCTACCACTCTATCAAGGACGACGGCAGCGTCGACAACTCGTACCACATCCACAAGAACTACATGCAGGCCTCCCGCCTCGCGCTGAGGCTGGGCCCGAGCGCGCACGGCAGTGCCCGCTAGCCATCGATCGACGCGCCTCTCCCAGGGGTTCGTTCGCTCCTCCTCCCCCTCATCTGGCGGGCCATGGACGATCAGAGGCAAGCTGCCGCGCTCGCCTCGAGACGACTCTTGGCCGGCGACGAGGGCGAGCCCCAGCGCAGTCGAGCTTCCGAGTCGCCCTCGCTACGCAGACACGAGGGGGGGGCGCGACAGGGCCACGTGCAACAGGCTCTTGGGCGGGTCGCCGACTGCCCGAGGCGGAAGCTCCGCTCTCCGCGAGGAGGAGGAGGAGGAGGAGGAGGAGGAGGAGGAGGGCAAGGAGGAGGGAGAGGAGGAGGGCGAGGAGGAGGAGGGCGAGGAGAAGGAGAAGGAGGAGGAGGAGAAGGAGGAGGAGGAGGAGGAGATGTTGCGCGCCACCGTGTACTTCTTTCGGACGTGGCTGGGGCGTGGATAAGTCCGTTTCAGGGCGTTTCGGAACGCTCTCAGGGCGTTCTGGAACGCTTTGAGAAGGCCGCGGCGCCCGAGACATCTTCCAGAGCCGCCGGATCTCAGAGATCCTCGATTCATCCGCACCCGAATTTCTCTTCGTCCTGGCCTCGTCTTACTGCTTCTATTGATCTCCCCCCCCGTGGCCGCGAGGGAGCGATGGGACTGGAACCTGGGTGTCCGACGCAAGCGCCAGCATCATCCCATTTGTTCGCGAGGCGGGGGCGCGCCTTCGTTTGCTGCGCTCGGTAGCTCTATCCGCTGCGATGTTCGGCCGTGGACCCCCTGTTAGCATGTGAGGCGTTCCAGACAGGCCCTTGTCCACGAGAACCGACGAAGTTGGCATGTCTTCCTCGGCGGAAGGCGGCGGACGGCTGGTGGAAGGCAGCAGAGGTAAAACGAGGCCGCCTCCGCCGGCGGAAGCCGGAAGAAGACCAGCGGAAGGCAGCGGAAGTAAAGATGCGCCCCCAAAAGGTGGACATGCTTTTGGGTGCAGGGTTCCTGGAACAGGTCATGTGTTCTTCCAGCTTTCGGGCGGAAGACCGCCAAAGACTTGCGATTACCAACAGCGACCGTCGATTTCCGCTGAAAGTTCGCCGACTTTCTTGTTAGATACCGCCGACAACCGCCCAAGGTGGATGGGGAACAAGAGGCCCATGGGCGAATTCGTAATCTACACCTCGTTCATGTCTGTTGGCCTGTCAAGAAATGATTTCCAGACGGCTTAACGCGAGAAGGGAAGTGGAGGAGTTTCAGCGCAGCAAATCGGAGGACATCATTCAAAAGGAAGGGGAGAGTCGGCCTACGCTGTCCCTCCCAACTTGTGATCTTCTTGGATGCCTTGGGAGCCATTGTGGGGGTCTCTTGGGGCCCTTTGGAGGGCCTGGGCCATCTTGGGCGGCCCCTCTAAGTGTTTTTTGTGCCCGCTGGCGCGATCCTAAGGGCAATCGACGGACCAACAAAAACAAAGGTAATTCCAGCCGGGCCCCTGTCTTCCTTGCGCTCCAGCAGATCGCATCGCAGAGCCCTCATGGGTTGCTCGGGCCGATGGTGCCATGATTGGTCTTTGCTGGGTTTCTCTTGGGTCATCTTGGGCCCATCCTGAGGATTCATAGGCATATCATAAGCGAAACAGCCTGAAGGCTCACATGTAGTGAAATATGTTGTTCTATGAATTGGGCATCAGCCTGAACAGACTCAGGACCAGCCGCCATACATGCCTTCGCGCATCTTCGGATGCGGGAACCTATTGGGAGCTCGCCTGGGCAGGACGGAGGCCCTGTTGGGGCCAATAGAGGCCTCGAAGTCTTTCGTTGGGCCTTCTAGGGGCTCCCGTGAGGCCTGGGCCTCGGAGGCCCTTTGGATGCTCGAAGGGCCGAATTGGCGCCGGACGGTATTGAAGCTACTCGGAGGCTTTACAGGCCCGTCGGGAGCGAAACGGCGAGAGGGCAACAACGATCGCGCTTGTTTGACTTGGGAGTGTCTTTGACATCTTCGGTGCATCCTTGGGAGACTAAGCTGCCGTTTGGTGCTGCATTGTTCCGGGGCCTCGTAGTGGCATTCTAGAGGTAAAGTTGAGTATTCCTGGGCGAACTCGTGCTATCTTGTGCAATCTTGGATGCCATCTTGAGCGACCTGGGGTAATCCTTGCACCATCTTGTGCCATCTCGGACGCTGCATTGGGTCGCGCGGGGCGCCGTCCAGACCAAGGGAACGGGTCCGTGGGCGGGGTCAGGTTCCCAACGGGGACGCCACAAGCTGTCTCGCTCATTCCCACCTGCCCTTCAGCCATATAAGAAACACCCGAGGCTCTGCACAGGCAAAGGCAAGGATTCGCACTGATGGACAGCCGCATGGACCCCATGCAGACGCCAGGGGTGCGCGAGGCAGCGGCAGGCTCGCCAGCGCACGCGGCGGCACACATCGGGCAGTAAGGCGGCGCCCCCACCATGTCTGTCAGAAGCAACTGGCAGCGGGGTGGTCAGTTTGCATCAGTTCTTCATACCGCTAGTTGGCGAGCGGACAGCGGGCAGCTACAATCCAACTCCCGCCATCCCTGTCAAAGGCCACTGCACAGGTATCGTGGTGCGCCCGCTCATGATCCAGGCATTGCCGCCACATGCACTTGTTGAATTCCTTTTTTCGGGAATGTACGGGGGCTGCTTGCTTCGTTCCTATTCAACGGCCCGCCATGTGTTGGATGAGGTTGTCGTCAACTTGGAGCAGTCCACTCTTCCTCCCTGCATCGCTAGAGCGATATGCATGCGTATGTACCGCTGCGTCTTGCAGGGCGGATGACGTCATGTATTGTATCAGAGCGCCGCTGCTGGCAGCTTGCCGGACGTTTGCTGGCGCTTGCAGCCCATATATGATCGCGGGCGCTGGGCTGACAAGCCCTTCCCCCCTCCACCCCAGATGGGATGGGTCTCAGGGTTCCACAAGCCCCCCCCCCTACCCCCCAGATGGGATGGGGGGGGAGGAGGAGGAAGACGACGACGACGACGAAGACGAAGACGACGAAGACGACGACGACGAGACGACGACGACGACGACGAGACGACGACGACAAAGAGCCGACCACGAATGATTTCTCTGAGCGTGGAGACTCGCGCGAACACTTCTAAATCTCGGGTTCGATCCTCTCATGCACACCCACACCAACCCACATCAACCCACACCACACCCACAGGGTTGGGGGGGGGGGGCGGGGGCATCGTGGGGGGCCATGGGGGGGCGGGGGGGCAATGGCATGCCCAATTGGGGGGGGGGGGGGGGGCAGACCCTGGACCATACATTGAAGGGGGCATCAGGCCTCAAAGTCTGTAGCCTGCAGGGCGGATGCCGTCAAATAGTGTATTTAAGTGTCGCTGCTGGCAGCGTGTCGGATGCTTGCGTGCACTTGCAGCCCGCATGCGCGTATAGACGGGCCCATGTTAGAGTTACACGTGCCCATGCCGAGTTCAGCGTAAGATGGGCGAGTTTTCGCGCGAGTAAAAAGGACAACATGTATCATTTGAGCATGCTCTCCGCGGGACAAACAATGTCATAGGCATTCAGATTCTGAGGTCTGCGCAGATTCCTCGGATCGGCGCTGAGGCCTCAACCCTGGCGCGCTACGCTCCGAGAAATCCGCGCGGACCTCGGAGTGTTCATGTTCATGTCATCGTTTGCTCCCCGAGTTCTTGGAATTTGTCGCCAGGCGGAGAGGTTCCACGGGAGCACGCTGGCATCACTGCGCGGTGAGCTTCAGCTGGGACGTGGCCGCCCTCTTGACACGGAATTGCCGGTGCGTGCATTGCGGCAATGTGATGTGTGCAGCGTGAACGGGGAGAGAAGAGGAGGAGTGGTGTCGACGAGGCGAAGGGGTAGGACCGAAGAAGAAAAAGTTGCACAGACATAAATTTTCGGAGGCTGTCGACTGCAAACACACAGTTTCCCAGCCCAGCCAGTGGAAATTGGACGCATTACGACGGCAGACGGCACCGGCAAATTGTTTTTTCTGCACGGACGCAGAGATGACCATTCGCGCGACATATTCTGCAGCTATACCAGATTGGGGTTTGCGCGGACCACAGAGGAGTAAGACTCGCTCTGCGACTGCCCAGGCCTAGGGGCGACCAGCGCGAGCCGGCGAAGCGTGGGTGCAGAAACCGTTTTGTTGGGCAGCCTGGTTTTGACGATGTTTTGAAGGAGGAGTTGATAGCAACCTGTGAATTGGACGAGCCCTGTGATACGGTGCCGCCCGCAGAGCTTGGCGATCGCATTGAATTCGCAATGTCGTCAGCTAAAATGCAAAGCCAACGGTGCGATGAAGAACAAACAACGGACAGAAATTCCCCTTCATATTCGAAAGTTGCTGGATGAGCGACGAGCAGCACGGAAAGGCGGGGAAGGTCACAGACCTCTGAAATGCATCAGCAAGGACTTGAAAAAGGAGTTAAGAAAATGGGATAGGCAACGCGAGAAGGAGAACATAGACGGCATATTGCGAGAATTCTCTGGCATTGGGAGAATATACAGCATCGGCAACAATTTCAAGAAACAGCGGCTGATTTGCGTAAAACGAGGACAGGGCTGAAATGTCGGACAGACAGGGCATCGCAGACGTATTTGCTACTTCCTACGAAGACTTGTATGCCAGAAAGCACTGCCTTCGGGACGCTGGGGCTACAACGTCATCTACAGGGGAGTGGTCGATCATGCCGCCGGTCACGACCGAAGAGGTCAGGGAGCACGTGAAGGAGATGAAAAAAGGCACAGCGTCGGACTCAGCCGGCGTAGTTGCAGAGATGATCAAAGTTGGAGGCGATTGTCTGCTAGAGGTGCCAGCGCGCGTGTTCACAAGTATTTTGGCCGACGGTGAGGAGCCTCCGCAAACGTGGAGGCACACGTGCATCAAAGTACTTTTCAAGAAAGGCGACCCAAAGCTCCCGAACAATTATCGACCTATTGCGATTCTTCCGATATTGTACAAGCTGTTCAGCAGTATGGTCTTGCACCAGCGATTGTTGGCGTACCTTGCAGGTCAGCAATCGGTGGACCAAGCCTGGTTCCGGAAAGGTTACAGTTGCGACGATCAGTTGCTAACGTTGGCCTTGTTGCATGCAAGGATGTACGAGTGCAGCGGCAAGTTCTGGGTGGCTACAATGGATTTTGAGAAAGCGTTCAACTCTGTCAGTCACGCGTCACTGCGGGCGTCTCTCAGCGAGCAAGGCGTTCCGGACTCCTGCATCCGAGTGTTGCGCAAATTGTACGAGGAGCAGACAGGGCAGATCCGGTCTGATCGCACGAGTCGTGTGCTCACATTGGAGAGAGGAACAAGACAAGGAGATCCGTTGAGCCCCACTCTATTCAATGCTCGGCTGGAGTCAATTATGCGTGATCTCAAACAGGAGTTGGAGAAAAAGGGGCTTCGGGGTGAAAGTGGGGACCAGAAGCCTCACGAATCTCCGGTTCGCTGATGACATTATGCCGATTGGATCTACGCGCGCCCAGGTGCGGCGCATGTTGGAAGACTTGTCAGCGCGCGCTGGGCAATCCGGACCAAAGCTGCACAGTGGGAAAACAAACATATTCTCTAACGTTGCTCACAGGAGAGGCGTCCTAGCGCAGTCTCGCGTTCCAATCGGGGCTGGCAGGGTTGAAGTGCTACCGGTGGACGGCAGCGTCGTTTACCTGCTACCTCGGGCGCAAGTTGCGTTTTCAGGGTACGTGGAAATCCAGAGCCGCATTGCGAAGGGTTGGGAGGCTTTCGGCAAATTCAAAGCAGTGCTGTGTAATAAGAATTATTGATTGCGGTCCCGGTTTCGCCTGTTCGACGCCGTGGTATAATCAACCGTCCTGGTTGGGAGCGGCACGTGGACCATGACGGCGGCTAGGGAGAATAAGCTCCAGGCTGAATTTCGCAAGATGTTGCGGAAAATTGTCGCGACGCCACGGAGGAGAGCAACAGCTGCTGGTGAAGTTGATAAGTCGCACGTCGAATGGATCTGCCGCTCAACACATGAGGCGCTGGGGGAGTTCGAAAAAGCAGGTCTTCAAACTTGGGCACAATCGCAGAAGCGTCGCAAAGCCGCTTTGCTACAGAAGACCGATGGCAGCACCGATGGCAGGTGGTCGAAAGCAGTGCTGGATTGGACGCCAGCTGGGCGCCGGGCACCGGGCCGGCCGCTGAAACGTTGGACCGACGACGTTGTCAGCAGTTAAGAAGCTGGGATTGCAAGAGCGTGTGAGAATCAGCGTTCCGGCAACCCGAGCAGGGCGCGCTCCGGCGCACGCCGGCTTTCGACCTCCCCTGGCGGCGCCTCTGGCGCCGCGCCTGGCGCGCTCCGTGCGCCAGGCATGGGGGTCCAGCGCAGCTCCAAGAAAGCCGCGAGGATCTCCAACAGTTTATTCTAGACGATTTTCATGACCCCACCAGCCCGTGCAGGAACGATACCCAGACGAACTGCCCTGATCAGGGATGTGGGGGAACATGCAGTTGAGTAAATGGCTGGGCAAGACGTCGTACCTTTAGAGGGGGAGGATGGAGGAGGAATCGGATGAGGAGCAGGAGGGGCACGGAACAGGGAGAGGGTGAGGGGGGGACAGGATGAGGAAAGAGGAGGAATAGGCGGAGGAGGAAGAGGAGCAAGGCGAGCACAATGCTACATGAGTCGTGCGGTTGTTTAGAACAGGCTGCAGGCGGGAGAGGACGAGTAGGAGCTCTGCGTGGAGGCAGGAGGAGGCGCGATGAGGTACGAGGACGTGGGAGGAGCTGGACGGGAAGCAGCACGAGGAAACGTAGGAATCGGATGCAACGACGGTCAAGCAGGGAAGAAAAGGAGGTGATTGAGGAAGAGGCGACAGGGAGAAGGTGGAGGTTGCGGAGGATGGGCAGGACCTTCACTTCACTTCGTCGTGCCGAAGCACGACGGACACTGTTTGTCGGGTTTCGGCCCCTGGGGACCTCATGGGGCCCTAGGACCGCCAACAAAAAGGACTCGGATGGAAAACTGGTCCTGGGGAAGGGGTCCAGACCCCGGGACAGACGGCACAACAGACACCTAGGCGGTGCGTGGATGCAAATGACAACGCGCACGTTTGTATCACCGACGGCCAAGAACGGCGCGCAGTAGGAGAGGAGGAGGAGGTGGAGGAGGAGGAGGAGGACGAGGACGAGGACGAGGACCAGGAGGAGGAGGAGGAGGAGGAGGAGGAGGAGGAGGAGGAGGAGGAGGACGAGGAGGACGACGAGGACGAGGACAGGACCAGGAGGAGGAGGAGGAGGAGGAGGACGAGGACGAGGACGAGGAGGAGGAGGAGGAGGAGGAGGAGGAGGAGGAGGAGATGGAGGAGGAGGAGGAGGAGGAGGACGAGGAGGAGGAGGAGGAGGAGATGGAGGAGGAGGGGAAGGGAGAGGACTACGTTTCGATATATATATATATATATATATATATATATATATATAAAATGCCGCAGAAACCAAGGAGAGAGGACAAGGATGTGGGTGGATGGGAGGAGGGGAAGAGGTTACGAGGCCTCGCGCAGCCGTCCTGGTCGGGGGCAGCTGGCGGCAGGCGAGACTCCCGAGGGCTCCGTTAGGCCTCACGTGGAGGCCGGCTTGGACAGCCTCCAGCGCCACGAGGCCCCTGCCCCTGGACGACTCCAGGCCAGACGGGGATTGAGGGGGGCAAGAGCGGGCAGGAGGAGGAGGAGGAGGAGGAGGAGGAGGACGAGGACGAAGACGAGAAGGAGGAGGACGAGGATGAGGACGAGGACGAGGACGAGGAGAAGGAGGAGGAGGAGGAGGAGGAGGAGTGACAATGAGTGACGGTTGAGGTGCATTGCCTCCGGTGGACGCACGACACGATCAACGGCCAGATGGTCTTCGGCACGGGCAGGGCGCAGGAACCGCCTCGCCCCCTGCCGCTTCGGGGGGGGGGCTCTCTGCGGACGCCAGGGGGCGGGCTCGTCCTTCGGGAGTTGCGTACTGGGGTGGCCATACATGGAGAAGGGGGGGGAAAGGTACACGTGTTGTGCCTTCAAGGTGCCCATAAGAACCCCATTGGGGTCCAAAAGGGGCTCGACATGTGCACGTTTCTCCTCGCTCCATTTGATGTCCCCATGCCCAGATCTTCGCCGCCGTTGTCGGCGTCGCCGTTGCTGTCGTCGTTGCTGGTCAGAGGAGGAAATGTGCCGATACCACTGCCCTCCTCCCGCTGCCACGGCTGCGTTCGCCGCCGCGAAGTCCCTCGGTCGGGACGCACCCCAGGAAGGGGTCCGTGGAGCGGCGGTATCGGTGTCTTTTTGCTCCCCCAGTCGACGCCGTCGTCCCCGTTGTCGAGGGCACCGTCGGCGTCGCCGACGGTCGCCGCCTCTGCCGTCGCCGCCGCCGTCGCCGCCGCGGCCGCTGCAGGCTCTCATCGGGCGGGCAGGGGTTGGTGCGTCTCGCGGACTCTGGGAGATTGCAGGGTGGTTGTAGGGACGGTTTTTCGCGCGGATTCGGGCCAGGGGGGGGCGAGCGTTTTCAGTGCCCGTCTTTTCTTTCTCTGCTACGCCCGCCCCATCTCCCAGCACCCGCCCCTCAAAAGATCCAGGCGGAGGACCCAACCATATGCAGTTGTGAGTGCCGCGTTGTTGATACCGCTTTTGGTGGCTCTCCATTGGGGGCCACGAAGTGTGTGAGGGGTGTGCCGAATTGAACGAGGTGGTCCCATGCGAACGCAGCCACTGTCGCCGCCTTCGGTGGAGCAGCTCCCGATGGGGCCACGAAGCCTGTGAAAGGTGTACCGAACCGGGCACGGAGGTGCCATGCGGACGAAGCCGCTCGGACCTTCGGTGGTGGAGCGCCCTATGGGGCAACGAAGCGTGTGAGGGGTGTGCCGAAATGGGTCGGGCAGACCCATGCGAGTTGCGCCACAGAGGCATTCGGTGGAGCTCTAAACGGGGCCACAACACGTGTGATTGGTGCGCCGAGTTGAGTCAGGCGGACGCACGCGACCTGCGCCACGGAGGCACGTGGTGGAGCTCCCTACGAGGCCACGAAAGGTGTGAGGGGTGTGGTGTACGGTCGGACCGAGGTATACGCTCGAGGTCGGTCCGGGGAGGGTACCTTGATGGTTTTCGTGCTTATTGAATCTCCTTCTGCATCCTGGGGAGGGTAGCTTAGATGTTCTGTGTGTTATGGCCGGCAGAGGGTCTCATATTCTTGATGAATGTTGAATGTTCTTTTGTCTTGGGTTCGATTGTAGCGAAATACGTCGGGCGGGCGCAGATCGGCACGGAGGTACTCGGCAGAGCTCCTTATCGGACCACGAAGTGTGCGAGGGGGTTGCCGAAATGGGTTGGGCGGCCACGGATGCACTCGGCGGAGCCCCTCCCCTTCTGGGGCCGCGAAGCGAGTGAGGGATGTGCCAATATGGGTCGGGCGGGCGCATACGAGCTGCTCCAGTGCTGCAGTGAGTCACTCGGCGGAGCCCCCTATGGCGCCATAAAACGTCGAGGTGGTTGCCAAAATGGGTCGGCGGAGCTCCGCATGGGGCCGCGAAGCGTGTGAGGGGTGTGCCGATAAGTGCCGGGCGGGCGCACGCGAGCGCGCCACAGAGGCATTTGGTGGAGCCCCCGATCGGGCCACGAAACGTCTGAGGGGTGTGCCGGAATGGGTCGGGCGGGCGCATGCGAGCTGCGCCACGGAGGCACAGCGTGTGAGCGGTGTGCCGAAAGTGGTCGGGCGGACGCATACGAGTTGCGCCATTGATGATGACGGTGGCAACCTGCGGAGGGCAGAGGCAGGGATAACAGGAGGGGGAGGAGGTCAAGGAGGAGGCAGGACGCGGGGCGCTGGCGTCTCAAAACGAGAACCCAACACAACAGGATGGTTGTGGCTACACGCCGTGGGCAGAATAGTGATTCGCACCTTTGCTCGACTCTCCCCCCCTCCCTGCTGGCTCATCCCTCCTCTTCTTCGGGATGGATCCGGGCTCTTCCCATTAGCTGTGCCACGCCGAGAATACTCCTGGAGAGCATGCATCGTCCAATACGGCTTTCCGAGGCCCAGGCTGCGGTCGCCAAGCCGAGCGACTGTCGAGGGTGAGGACAATCGTGTGTCGGATGGACGGCATTTGTTGGATGTGGGCGGTGGCTGAGATGATTGTGGAGTTCCATACTCTGTTTTGGGATGTTAGTGGTCGGCATTCTGCGGGCGCGCAGCCATGTCAGCCAGATCTGGATCCTCTGAAGGGTCCCCAGACCCTCGTGTTACACGCCATCGCCACACCGAACGCCGCCGACATCGAAGATTCGTGCTCGCGCGCTGTGCTCACAGCTTGCCCCTCAAAGAGTGGAGGCGATCGACGAACTGGGGGGCGAGGTCCTGGGCCCACTCGCGTCGGGCCTCGCCTCCCAGTTGACATAACCACGGGCCACAAGTCAGTTTGCGGACAGCAGCGCCGCTGGCAGCGTTTCTCGCGCACGCTCGACGCCTGGGCCAAGTGGCGCTCCCGCAACGGCCTCGCCATCGATGAGTCGAAGGGTTGGCGCCTCGCCCTCGGCAGATACCGGCAGAAGCAAACTCAGGGGTGGGCCCGCACGAAGAAGCCAGCGCAAGATCGACGGAAACCGGCGGAAGTGAAATGTGCACCTCGCCCTCTTCCTCCCCCTTGTGCGACGAGATGCGAACGTTATTGGACCAAGAGTTTCCAAAGCAGGCTGAGTATGATTAAGTCTTTCTGCAGTCGTTCTGAACAGGTTCCGTGATTTCGTAAGCAGGGTGGTATTGAGGTGTTGCCACTACGAATGGTCACGGTATTTGCCAGTCCGAGGCTAGGCGTGGTCAGAGCTAGAGATGTACAGAAACCAGTTCATCCAAATGCGTCACGCCTCGGAGAAACTGCAGGGCAATTTACGTACGTGATGCCATTGTGCATGATACTTGCAGTCGCAGTGTTCTTGGCCACTCGAATTGGTCCTTGTAGAGTTAGCCGTCTCCATTCCAATCGTTTGCGTTACCAATTCTAGACGCTTCGCGTAACCCCACCAGCCGCTCTCAGGATGTTCCCCCCGCCGTCAGCCCCTTCAGCTCCGCTGCTGCTGCGTGAGTGGGCCGGCCGGTCTGTGCGCCTGTTGTAGCTAATCAGCCTCGTTCGCGCCCCGGTCTTTGCTTTCGCCGCCTGACCCTTGTCTGGTGGCCGCGACCAAAAAAGTAACCCCACCAGCCAATTCAGAAATGATGCCTATCTGAGTTTCCCTGGCCAGGCACGTGGAGGAGCACGCATTGTAATAAAGAGTGGGAAGCCGTCATACCCCAAGATAGGGAGGATGGATGAGGAACCAGAGGAGGAGGAGGAGAAGGAGGAACGAGGAGGGAGGAGGGAGGAGGTAGGAGGGAACCGGAGGATCAGGCTGGCGAGGAGGAGGACAGGACACAGGACATCCGCATAAAAGGGGGTCAACGTCAACACACCTAGACTGGTGCCTTGCGCGCGCCTGCAAAATCCCCTGCGATTTGGTTGTGCAACAGCCCTGACTTCTCACTAAAGCCGGCAGGGGGCATACCTCGAAGCTCCAAGGGGAGAGTTCCGAGGTGGCCCCGTGAGAGAGGCTCGCTACCTTGTGAGTACGAGTCCCTGCGGGTCAGTGCGGGGGGAGCAGCTGCTGGCCCTTCCGCGTGCCCTGTTATAGGGGACGCGCTGGGCGAGCAGGGCTCCCAAGCTAGGGGGGAAGAGGCGACGACACGACCACTCAAAAGGAGAAGAGGGAGGAGAAACATGAGGCCCCTGCTTTCCAAACTTCTGCTGGGGGGCCCAATTATCCTACTCTATCCTGTTCTCTCCTCTCTCTCTCGGCTCACTTCTCTTCCATATTGAACTGGACGATAGTTGTCCCATGCATTGTCGTAACTGTACCCTGATACCCTGTCGAAGTATCCTACTGTTCACTTTCGATGTGCAGGTAGGGAAAGGCATACTGGTAGTCACGGTATGTTGGAGGTGGGGCCTTGTGGATGCTCTCTGGTGGCCTTCGTGTTCATCACATGTTTTCCCAATCCCCCCTGCAGTAGTGTACCTGACGTCGCTCCCAAAAATCACTTCCCAAGGCGTTGTCTGCGCGAGCTCTCTCCTAAGCGTCCTCACGCCGATATTGCCTCGCTAGTGATGGTCCCACTGAGTCGGCCCGCCTGCCTAGAGTCGCACTTCGAGATAAGCTCGCTAATGCACCTCCTGGCGTTGTCAGTGGGCTCCAGTGGGCCATCTCACTTGTGGCCGCTGAAGCTGGCCGCCTTCTCCGACTTGGCGTACTTCTCGGAGATCTCGGTACCTTCCAGCAGGGTTTTCGTGCTGTCCCTAAGCTCCTGGCGTTTTTTTGAGTCTTTTCACCTCATCTGGGTCGAGACTGTCCTCTTTGCCCAGCTCCTTCAAGGCCACCTTCATGACGCTGTAGAGGTTATCCTCATCATCCTTCGCTATCTTCAGCGCCAACTCACACCAGTTCTGTACAGTGAAGGCCTTCCTCCCAGCTCTTTTCCACACATTCACTGGGCACCTTGCGATCAGATAGCATTCGTCGACCTTGCGCGTCATCTGGAAGGCTATTGGGATCAGCTCGAGGAGCTCCTCAGGGCTCGTCTTCTGGGCGGCGTCGTGCAACTTGGAATGGTTATCCTTGATGGCCTCATCCAGCGTCTGCTGCAGCCTTTCCGCGACAAGCGCTCCCCACCTTGAGCTCCACCAACATTGACGGCCCTTTCCTGAACGGCCTGAACACGGACTTGCGCCTTGATTTGGGGCTGGGGCCTTGCCACCACAACTTGTTAGGGAATACCAGTCCGCACGAGCAGGCGACGTCCTTCTTTTTGTCCCATCCTGTGCTCCCCCTGCATACGTTGAACAGCTGCACGTTGTCGATCCACTTGTCCATGAAGTCCAGCGCCTTGAGGTACGCTGTCTGCTTCTCCCCCATGTTCTTCGCCGTCTTGTAGTCTCCTATCTCGTGCATATCCTTGTCTTTCTCCTCCAGCTCCTTCTTGGCGGCCTTCAGCGCTTCTTCGTCGTTAGCGTCCATGGCCATGTACTCGTTCAGCAGGGCGTCGCATTCCTTTGCGCATCGTAAGGCCTTGGCCATGCCGTTTCCTGCTTTACTGAAGGCTGCGAAGCTGAGCAGAAAGGCCAGAGGCCTCTGCTTCTCGAAGTCTCTTCGGATGTATCTTGAGAGCTTCTCGTAGCCCTCTGAGGGCCTCTTGGGGGCGTCGTGGCGGTCCTGGGGGCTTCTTCAAGTGCCTTGGGTGCCTCGGGGGAGTCTCTGTGGGCCTCTTGAGAGTTTCTCGGGATCCTTTTAGGGGCCTTTGGAGGCATCATGGGGGCGTCTTGGGGGCATCTTGGGGCCTGGTGGGTGCCTTTTGTGGGGCCGTCTTGGAGCACTCCTGGGAGCCTCGGGGCCATCTTGGAGGAGATCGATCCAAGGAGGGGAGCTCCTTGATTAGCTCCCCCCCAGGAGGCCAATTTGTGGCCAACACTTTTCGGTAAAATCTATGATTTGCGCTTTTTTTACCGAGGCCATATTTGAAGCTCTAACGACTCGTGGCCCGCCGCCCTCTAGGTCCAGGGAATGGGGTAGGAGGAGGGGTCGAGACACCCTCCCCGCCCACAGGCCGTCTCGCTCACTCCCACCCGCCCTCCCAACACAGAAGTAGCACCCGAGCCGCAGCGTGTTCGGCGGTAGTTTGCCGATGGACAGACAATACGAACCACAACAGACTCCATATGCGCAACGCTGGGGTCAGGTGCGCCACACGTGCTAGGCGCGCCACGCGCGCCAGGTGCGCCAGCGACCCCATGTTGCCCAAGCGTGCCGGGCACGCCTGGTGCGCCTGATGCGCCACGTGATCCGCGTGCGCCACGTGTGCCGGATGTCCCGGCCGCGCCAGGTGCGCCCCGATCGGGGCACGCGCAGAGTGTGCCATATGCGCTTGCGCACGTGGCAGGACACATCGGGAAACGTGTCGGCCCCCACCACCCTTGTCGAAAACCAGTGCGCAGTCGCGGCGGGGTGGCCGTCATAGCGCTGATGGGTCTGCACATAGCAGGCAACATACCAACACCCCCGCCGTCCCAGTCAAAAACCAATGCAGCCGATGCACAGTGATCACGGGATGCCAGCGCATGATCCAATGCTTGTCTCGAAGTGCATTTTGCATCGTTTGTTGAAATGGATGTTGGGTCTGCGCACAGCAGGCGGTATGCAGGCACCCCGCCGCCCCTGCCAGACATCCAAGCAAAATGCTCGCGCCCCCCATCATGACCCAAGATTTTGCCCCAAAGTGTACTTCACATTGTTTTTTTGACAGGGTTTGTGGGGGGGGGGTCCTCGTTGGTTTTGGTTGGCTGCCGGTCGCCGCCTGGGGGAGGGCTGTGCTATGAGTAGGGAACAGTGACAAACGCTCCCCCCGAAGGAGAAGGAACGGTTTGGAAGAGAAAACACGCTTTACCTCTCACGCCCTAAAGGGCTGGTGGGACGTATTAGTAGTCAGCAACAGAGCTGCAGACTCTGCCTATGCATGTATGAATCATTTTGTGAGGACCGCTCAGTCTACGAACTTCTTCACCAGCTGCTCACTGGGGAGGTGAAGCCGCAGAACATCACGCCTCTGACTGTCGTGCTTGATGGTGACCGTCTCTATTCGATTTCAAACAGGCGCCTGACGGCGTTGAAGATGTTTCAGGCAGTCCATGCACACGAGGTGGTGCGTGTAAATTGTTCGCTCTACGACGCGCAGGACACCGAGATCCGTGCAAAGTACCGGGAGGCGAAGACAACGACGAAGCACTTCGGCGACGGCGTCGGGGTGCGCCTGTACAGAGCGCAGGAGGCCTACCACATGGGCGCACCCCTGTTCCGCAGCGAGCGGGAGTGGTGCGACGCCCCGGGCGGCGACCCAGCCCCGCCGCGAGCGGCTCGCAGCACGGCCAGAAGCACGCCAGACGACGCATCGACTCCGTCGTCCTCCCAGGCCTCCACTCCGCCGGTGCGCGGCGACGCCGCGGCCGAGCACGTTACGCCCCCGCCGCCCGCCGCCGCGACCACGGCGTTGCCTCCACCTCCGCCGCCAGCCGCGGCGCCGCCACCAGAGCCGCCAAAGCCGCGGCGGTGCCCGCCACCGCCGCCCAAGCTGGCGACAGGTGGGGCGCCGCCTGGGCCGAGCGGACCACCGGGTGCGAAGGCTCCGCCGCCTGCGAGGCTGCCAGGGCAGTGCGAGGACGGCCCTTCTGCGCAGCCGCCCGCACCGTGTGCAATGACCCCGCCGCCCACATATTGCGTGGCCAAGCCGCCGCCGCCGTCTGCGCAGGCCAGAGCGCCACCCGCAGTGGATTCCCAGGACGTGCCTTGCAAGGCTCCGCCGCCGCACGGCCTCCCTGCGCAACCGCCTCCGCTGTGTGCAAAGCTTCCGCCGCCCTCACACTGCGTGGCCAGGCCGCCTCCGCCGGCTGCGCCGGACTCCCAGGACGTGCCTTGCAAGGCTCCGCCGCCGCTCGGCCTCTCTGCGCAGCCGCCTCTCGTTTGTGCTAAGCCCCCGCCGCCCAGCGTGGACAAGCCGCCTCCGCCGTCTGCGCCTGCGGAGCCGGCGCCTGCCACGGGGCCGCCATCCGCGCCGCCCGCGGCGGAGGCGCCCCGCGCCCTCCCGCCGTGCAGCGCGCACTCCGACGAGCTGCCGCTCGCAGAGCGCAGGCCGCCGCCCCCACCGCCAGGGGCCCCAGCGCGCTGCGCAGGGCCGCCGTGCGCGGCCACCGCTCCGCTCCTCGGCGCTCAGGCGAAGCCCGCGCTGCACCCGCCGCCCCCCCCACCCAAGCCGACGTCTCCCGCCGCGCCAGGTCGATCGGCAGAAAGCTTCGAGGCACCGCCACCGTGCCTCACCGAGCCCATCCTGGGTCCTGGGCCCCGGGATGGTGTGCAGGCCCTACTGGCCTCGGCCGGCAGGGCGTATGCACCATGCCAGGGTCCAGGATGGCCCTGGCCAGACACGATGTTGGTGTATGGAAGCTTTCCGCCGGAGGTCTTCTGCTGAAAGCGCCGCTGGCGGCTCAACCGAAGCCAGGGCCGCCGTCGCCATCCGCGACGAGTTGTCCAGCGTTGGGCGCATCAAGCACTGCGGACCCTTCGCAAGCCCAGACGCCAAGCTCTTCGCCATCACATGCTGCAGTTGCGGAGGAGTTGAACGACATTGTGATGTGCCAAGCAGTGGAGACGGTCGCTACCATGCTCGAGATGGAGCCAACGAAGCGCCTTTACGCCTCGCAGTTAATGTCCCGTCTCTACTTGACATTGCCCACTGCCAAAGACGTGCTCAAGAAGAGGGGTGGCTTGAGAGGCCTCTGCAGCGAGTCCCGCGGGCGCTTGCAGCAGTTTGGAGGCGCTAGCGTCGGCAAGCCAGGCACTGAGGAGGTCGCGCTTTGCACGGACTTCGACGCGACCGCACCCTCTGGAAGCAGCCACGAGGCCACGCGGAGTTGCGAATGAGTTCTGATTCGCATATCCTCGATTGGTGGGGTATTTCAGTCCTGCAGTCTTGCAGGCCCTCGAGAGGTCAAGATCGGAATGCGAGGTTACGGTCCCAGGGAGTCGTTCCGAAAAGCGCAGCTACAATCGGGTGTGATCGTGTGCGTGTCACCCATCGCCCTTGGTTGTTTGTTAAGCACTGGTGTTCCACCCTCCTCCCCTCCTTCCCTTCGTCCCCTTTCATTGGAACAGTGCCACGGGCCCTCGATAGTCGCTTCGACCCAGGACAGGCAGCGCAGGAAGCTCGACGAGGCCGCTTGCAGCCTTCATCCCTCCACGGGGGAGGCCCTTGAGCTTGAGGGCTGATTTGTGCTTGCTTGCATTGCTCGATTTACACGCCCGTCGTTGAACGCAGATATTTCTGAATTCCCCGATCCCAGTCTTCTTTGGCCGCCTTCAAATGCAAGAGGCGAGCGTTGTCCATCTTTTCTCATCTTCAAGCGGCGGACGGAAGCCCGATCCACTTCCAACGCCTTCCTACTTCATGTTCAACGGTGTCCTGTCCGTGGAGTCTAGCCCTCCACGGCGGTGGCGTAAGCGGCCCTTATCAAAGGGGATGCGCCGTCCACCGATCATCTCTAGCTTGACGGCGTTCGTTACCCTGCGGACGCTTCCCAGTCGGTGGCCACCTCAATCCCCCCACTCTCCTCACTCTCCGGCCGCGAGGGCGCGAAGACCATCGCACGTCGCGAATCGCCGGGCGCGGTGGAATAAGTTCAGTGGCCTGGTGGACACCCAAGCTCGGCTACACGTAAGAGTGACCCTTCGCTTGAGAGTGACCTTTGGTGCTGGCCCACCAGGGTGCCCCGATCACCGAAAGTCGCTGAGCGCGATGCGATAGCAGCGGCTTGCGCGCCTGGATTTGGCCCCCTGGCGGCTCCCAGAGGCCGCCCACCAAAGTCGGAGAAGAGAATACGGCATAAACATAAACTTTTGTGGCACTCCGCGTGGAGTTCTTGGATTGGCGCCTGGGCCCCCCTGAGAGCGCCTCCGGCGCCGCCCCTGGCGCGCTCCGCGCGCAAGGACGGGGGGTCCAGCGCGGATCCAAGAAATCCGCGCGCAGCGCCAAACGTTTCCGTTGATGCCGCTATTTCTTAGTTGTCTTCTTCTTGTTATTATTATTATTATGATTATTATTATTATTATTTCCTCGTTCTTCCTCTTGCTAGTATTATTATTATTCCCGGCGGAGCCGGGTGAAATTCCGTGCCCGCCGGTGACTGACTGACTAATTGACCGACTGAACGTCAGGAGGGGCTATGGAACAACACATTTCAAACCGCCCGCGGGCGCGCAACCGCAACTGGGCGACACATTTCGACCCGCCCGCGGGCGCGCAACCGCAACCGCAATTGGGCGACACATTTCAACCCGCCCGCGGGCGCGCAACCGCAACCGCAATTGGGCGACACATTTCAACCCGCCCGCGGGCGCGCAACCGCAACTGGCGACACATTTCGACGGCCCGCGGGCGCGCGACCGCAATTGGGCGACACATTTTGACCCGTCCGCGGGCGCGCAACCGCAATTGCAATTTGGCGACGCATTTCGACCCGCCGCGGGCGCGCAACAGCAACCGCAACACGGCGACACATTTCAATCAGCCCGCGGGCGCGCAACCGCAACCGCAACTGGGCGACACATTTCACCCCGCCCGCGGGCGCGCAAACTGGGCGACACATTTCAACCCGCCCGCGGGCGCGCAACCGCAACCGCAACTGGGCGACACATTTCACCCCGCCCGCGGGCGCGCAAACCGACACATTTCAACCCCCCGCGGCGCGCAACCGCAATTTGGGCCACACATTTCGACCCGCCCGCGGGCGCGCAACCGCAACCGCTACTGGCGACACGTTTCAAACGCGCAACCGCAATTGGGCGACACATTTCGACCCGCCCGCGGGCGCGCAACCGCAACCGCAACTACGCGGCACACATCGACCCGCCCGCGGGCGCGCAACCGCAACCGCAACAAGGCGACACACTTCAACCCGCCCGCGGGCGCGCAACCGCAACCGCAACTGGGCAAATCATTTCAACCCGCCCGCGGGCGCGCAACCGCAACCGCACCGCTCACCTGCCGTCTTCCTCCAGGGGATCTGAGGCGGAGAAAGGGTTTGAGGGAGGTGGGAGGGAGGGGGGAGGGAGGAGGGTGGCGGGAGGGAGGAGGAAATAGGGGGGGAGGGAGGGGAGACGGAGGGAAGGAAGAGAGCTCACAGTGATTGGGAGCGGACAACTTCTGCCCTCCCCCACCCCCCCCGTGCCACGCAAGTGGACCTCCACAAGGCTCCAGACCTTGGACTCCTTATCCAAAGCCTCCACGGTCTGCTAGCGGGATGGGTGGGTTAACCGCCCCCGAGGGGGGAGACGAGGTTTTGACTGAAGCGGCCCGTTGCACCGCCTCCTTTGCAGTTCGGGGGGCGATGCCACGGGGATCGATTGCGCGTTCACCCGCGCGCAAGCTGCCCGCGGAAGTAGGTGCATCGGCGCCGTCTTATTCATGCGGTCTGCCGCGTCTCATTCATGATCTGGTGCAGGAGCAGGTGGAGGAGGGGGAGGAGGACGAGGAGGAGGAGGAGGAGGTAAGGGAGGAGGAAGGGGAGCAGCAGGACGAGGAGGAGGAGGAGGAGGAGGACGAACAGGAGGAGGAAGAGAAGGAGGAGGAGGAGGAGGAGGAGGACCAGGATGGCCAGGAGGAGGAGGAGGAGGAGGAGGAGGAAAAGGACGATGGGGAAGGGGATGCCAGGGTGGTGCTGCTTGAGAAGGTGCACGAGCAGGTGCTTGTTGAGGAGGACGGAGGACGATGAGGTGGTGGACGTCAATGAGGATATGGGCGTGGAGGTGGATGTCCTCCTCGCGGCTTCCGGCTTCCGGGCGTGACCCGCGGTTATCCGCCGGGGCGTTGCATCGGGGAAGCCCCCTTTCCACGCCCCATTCCACGCTGCTGCCTCTGATTATTTATTTTTCTCCTTCCTCTGTGTCTTCTTCGAGTGATGCAGAGCTCGCGCCGGCGCGGCGCGCCGCGGCCGCGGGCCTCGCGCCCGCGCCTCGGGAGAGGAGCCGCCCCGCCCTTGTGCAGGTCGCCGCCGCGCCCCTGCGCCCCCCCCCCGCGCCCTCGGGGGAGGCGGGGGGGGGGGTCCGGGCGGGAGCCGCGCCCCGCGCAGGCCTCCGGCCGTTGCGGGAGCAGGTCATTCGCAGGCCCAGAGGTCGACACCAACACCAGCATCGGCAGTGTGCCCCCGCCGGTGGAAGAAGATCCCGATTTGGGCGATGGTGGTACTACTCTGGCTTCCAATGTGACCGACATGTTACCACCAACACCGAAATCGAGGAGCATATTTTCCCTGTGGAAGCAAGCTCCTGTGTTGGCGTTGGTGCCACTTTCGAGGCCTCCAAATCATGGGAGTCTCGTGTACCAGAGGGCCTCGTGGGCGGCCCTCGTTGCCACCGCTGGATATTCGCTTCGAAATCCTGGTCAGAACGCGCTCCAGGAGAGGTCCGGCCAGCAGCGGTATCGGTATACCCTCTTTGGTCTCCCCACTTTTGGCAGCAGATCATGGGAGTCCCATGTGCCCTCGTCGTTCCGCTTTTCGAGTGCGGTCGCGTCGAATAGTTTCTGGTAAGTACTCGTTCGGACACCGTCGACGTAGCGTCGAACAGCGCCGATTCAGCGTCGACCAGCGTCGAGGAGCGCCGATTCGCAAGAGCCAACAGGATGGCATGTGAGGTTCCCGCGAGTTTCCAACGAAGTCTACGGGCGCCGGCATAGCGACGAATGGCGTCGGTTCAGCGTCGACTGGCGTCGAGGATCGCCGATGCGCAAGAGCCCGACGAGATGGCATGGGGGGGGCCCAGGAGTTGCCACCGAAGGTTACAGCCCCCTCGGGGCGCCAGCGTAGCGCCGAATGGCGTCGATTTGGCGTCGGCTGGCGTCGAGGAGCGCTGATGCGCAAGCGCCAACAGGATGGTATGGGAGCGCTCCAATTCGGGGCCCAAGCATATACACCACCACCACCTCCCTCACCCCCTCCCTCTCCCAGGAGGGAGGAAAGGAATAGGAGGGTAGAGGAGGGAGGAGGAATCCACGTGGTGGTGGTGTATATTCTTGGGGCCCGCATCCCAGGAGTTGCCACCGAAGGTTGCGGCCCCCTCGGGCCGACGTGGGGCGCGGCCTTGCGAGCGGCATCGGTCCTGGTTCGATCTCTCGCTCCAGGCCGCTTCGACCCGGTTCAGTCTCGCGCCTCTGGCGCCGCCACTGGAGCGCTGGTCCCGCCAGGGAGGTGGATCCAGCGTCGATCCAAGAACTCCGCGCGGACCTCCGTACGTTGGTTCGAGATTTCTTCTTCAACTACGATTGCCAGGCAGCATATAGTTCAGACGCTGAAGTATTGACCGCTTTGGGCTCAGGAGGGGGGGCCCGTTTTTCGGGCCGTTCCTTAGGCCCGCCGTGACCAGAAAAGCCCCTTTCGCTCCTCAGCAAGCGTTCCTGACTGTGGCAGCGCGATGACTCTACGACGGCCAGGCAGCATGTGGACGACCCCTCGAGTCCAAACCCGACCCGTCTCTGAAAGAGCGAGCTGCGGGAGACGCGAAGAACAGCATGGGCCCAGCTCCGACCTGCCTCCCGTGGCGCGTCCCGCGGCCCGCCGATGCCCAGACCTGGGCGGGGGCATCCCAGTGCGACCCGCCTCTCCCCTCCCCGCCTCTCCCTCGGCCCTTGGCCCTTCAGGCGAGGCCGCGGCCGGCGCGGGCCGCTCCCGCGGCTATGCAGGGCAACCGGCTGGTGGACGAGGACGTCGGGGGGAGCGGCGAGGAGCTGCTTTCTCGAGGGTGCTCGTCATGGCGCCAACAGCGCAGAGCGGATTTCGTCTGGACAATAACGGGATGGGCCCAGATTGTCCTGGAGAATTCCGCTCCGGATTGCGAAGTTAATTCCGTCAGATTTTTGTGCCAACCCTCCTTTGGTTGGGTTCTCGTTTTGAATAGAGCTGTGGGATTCCATGTCCCTTCTCCGACTCCTCCCGCCCTCTGTCCCCCTGTCGCCTTCCTGCACCTGCCTGCTGAGGGACCGAACACTGGGGCCTCACGCAGACCCAAACGGGATCTCGCCATTCCTCGGGGGCTGCGAAGAGTGAACTTGTCGCCACTTTCCAGGGCTGCTGCGGGAGTCGCGCAGTGGGGCCCCACGCAGTCTCAAACGGGACCTCGCCATTCCGGGGAGGGTGCCGCGAAGTGTGAAATTGTCGCCACTTTCGAGGGCTGTCGAGGGAGCCCGCGCAATGGGGCCACACGCAGACTCAAACGGGACCTCGCCATCCCTCGGGGGCTGCGAAGAGTGAGCTTGGCGCCATTTTCAGGGGCTGCTGGGGGAGCCCGCACAGTGGGGCCACCACACGCAGACCCAAAAGGGACCTCGCCATCCTTGGGGGCTGCGAAGAGTGAACTTGTCGCCACTTTGAGGGCCGGTGGGGTAGCCCGCTCAGTGGGGGCCCCGCGCAGACCCAAACGGGACCTCACCATCCATGGGGGATTGCGAACTGTGAACTTGTCGCCGCTGTCGAGGGTTGCGGGGGGAGCCTGGGCTTCGAAGTGTGAACCTGTCGCCATTTTCGAGAGCGGGTGGGGGAGCCCGCACAGTGGGGCTCCACGCGGTCCCAAACGGTACCTCGCCATCCTTGAGGGCTTCGAAGTGTGAACCTGTCGCCATTTTCGAGGGATGGTGGAAGGGCCCGCTCAGTGGGGCCCCGCGCAGACCCCAACGGGACCTTACCATCCATGGGGTGTTGCGAAGTTTGAGCTTGTCGCCACTTTCAATGGGTGCTGGGGGAGCCGGCACACTGGGGCCACACGCAGTTCCAACCTTAACCTGGGCCTCGCCATCCTTGGTGGGCTGCGAAGTTTGAGCTTGTCGCCACTTTCGATGGATGCTGGGGGAGCCGGCACACTGGGGCCACACGCAGTTCCAACCTGGGCCTCGCCATCCTTGGTGGGCTGCGAAGTTTGAGCTTGTCGCCACTTTCGATGGGTGCTGGGGGAGCCGGCACACTGGGACCACACGTAAATCCAATCTGGGCCTCGCCATCCCAGGGGGGCTGCGAAGTGTGAACTTGTCGGATCAGTTGCTTGTCGATATGGCCGCTAAGCTGGTGAACCAGGTCAATGCGGGCGTCGCTGGCGACTTTCACGGAACGTTGCACCTGCGCGTCGGCATGCGTGCACCCTTGCTGGAACACATAGGCCTCCAGCAAGGGCTCGTGAAGGTCGCCGAGGGCGATGTCGTGCACGTGGCAATCAACCCCATGGATGAGGACTAGGTGCAGGCAGCGAAGGCCGACCGACGCCCCGCTTACCTGCGTTGCCTGCCGTACGGCGTGTGGGTGCGCATGGATACATGCCATGGGGCCGTTGCGGCAAGAAACTGACGGAGCCCGCTGCTAGCCAGCATCGCCGCCGCAGATGCGGCGGGCTTCGTTTTTCATCGAGCCACAGACTTTGAGCCCGTTCGACTTTCGCAGGCATGAGGTCACGCGCGCCGGGCTGGTCTTTTCGTGCGTCGAGGTCCTCGCGTCCACGGCCAGCAAGGGCCGGGCCGTGCGCAACGGAGTCATAATCGACGCCGGGTGGAAAGATGCCGGCGACTGGATGCGCTCTGGCTGCATCTCTACGCGATGTCGAGAGCGACCGCGGTGGACAACCTGCTGATGATGCGCGACCCTGGTCTCGATGTCCTTTCCCACGGCCCTTCCGCAGACCAGGCGGCGCGCCTGCGCGCATCTGGTGTTCGTGCTAAGAGGTGCAGCGAAAGGGCGGAGAGGCTGGCGGGCGAGCTAGGCCTCGACCGTTTCTCCATACTAACATGTGGAGTTTTGCATTTTCAAAGGTGCCGAATTAACGCGGGGCTCTGGCCGCGCAGGCGCTGGGAATTCCGGCGTCGAAAAACGCGACCTTTCATTGTCTGGATGCGTCTCCGCTTATGCGACCTTATCTTGCCCATGCCCCTATCATCTCGCTGCTTCTGGCGAGGCCATTGTTCTTCCACCCCGATGTCTTCCTTGTGCTTCTCTTTCCCAGTGCAATGCCTCCTGGTCTTCTCGTTGCTTCGGTTCTGCGAATCGGCCGCGCGCACTTCGCGCGATGTAGATCTCCCCAGTGCAACCGTCTTTTGCAGCGTTGCTGTCGCATAATTGCCAGCGCAACTTAGATTTTTCCTCGGCGCCGATGGGTCGGGCGCGTCGCATGGCAATTTGGGCAGGAATATAAAATACAAAGACTCCGCGTGAAATTCGCGATGTTCCACGCTCACCTTTCCGGGATTCTGCATGTATCGGCGCCCGCGCAACATGTGCTGCAGCACGTCGGCAATGTCGGTGCAGTGCTACGTAGGCTCGGAGGCCTGGAGGGTGACGCCAGCGCCAGCATCGACGATGCGCTTTCGGCGATGGCGGCAATTCTCCGGCATCCTAGGCGGCCGAAGGAGCACCGCCGGCACCGTCAATTAGGATCACCTTCCCCCGGCGGGGGCAACCCGCTCGCGTTGGGATTGGCGTTTAATTGCAGGCAACTAGACGAGGCTACCCCGAGGTCGAGATGGGGTTGGCATGCGCCTTCCGGGGCCTTCGCCCGCCCCCAAAATTGGCGCTGGTTCTTGCGCCCGACGCGTGCCCGTTGCGGACTCGGCGCGGATTCGGCGTGGATTCGACGCGGATGCGACGAGGCCGACGTGGATTCGACGCGGATTTGACGCGGATAGGAACGCGACGGGACAGACGACGCCCCCCGACGACGCAACATATGGTTAGGGAGCGAACGTGGTAGGGCGTCTATCCCTGGCAGCGTTAGCATTTAGGGTTCTTGATTTCTGCCCTTAGGATCTGGGCCTGTCTGTAGCTCTGACGGTTATTTTGCCGCCGTCGCAGACCCCGTCGCCGCCTTTTCGCCGCCCGTCGCCTGGGCCTGTCTGCCGCTGTGGCGGCTGCGCTGCTGCCGTCGCCGCCCCGTCGCCGCCTCGCCGCCGTCCGTCGCCCGGGCCCGTCTGTGGGTCGTCGCGCTCGTCGCCGCCCCGTCGCCGCCCCGCGTGGACTGTGCAACGTGTAATATTGCGCCGCGTAGATTCACACTGCAAGTTTCTGATGGTTCTGCCAAATGAATCGCCCATCCTGAACGTGAATCCACGCCGCCCCGCACAGGCCGGCGTCGACGCCTCCCCCCCCCCCCCCACCTTGCGCGCAAATATCTCTGCGCGCGCGACGTCGAGCGCAAAAGTCGCGGAAAGCCACGCGGCGTCGCGACGCGGATGGCCAGGAAAGCTCGCGCGCGCGCGCGCCATTGCGAGCGCTTGAGAATACCAAAAGTTGTCTTCCAACATTTTCATGGCGCGCCACTAGACGGGCCTCGCGCGAGCACGCAGAAATCGGCCGAGCGCCCATGCGCGGGCGTTGTCGCGATATACCTTGACAACAAAACATGAGGCGAAGCGTGCGCGCGTCGTCGCGCGTGCGCCGAAATCCCCCAAACGCGGAAGGTGTCGCAAGGTTTTCAAAACCGAATGTTCCAATACCATATATAAAACAACACATGTTGTTTTGCCATTGGTGCGATCGCGAAGCTTGCGCTCGCGCTCTTGCGCTACGGCGGCAAAAAGCGCAAGCTTGCTTCCTGCGTGTTCTGCGAATTCGGCCGCGCGGGCCTCTCGCGCCGCGCGCCGAATCATGCCAACGTCCTTGCGCGCGCTGGGGGGGGGGGGGGGGGGGGGGCGCGATCTGCGTTTGGTCGCGCCGCGGGGCCGCTCTCGCGCGTCGGCCGCGCGCGCGTCGACCTGCTTGCGAAAACTTCATCGCCGACGCGGGGGCGCCGTCGTCGTCGCCGGCGCGATCAGCTTCGGCGCCATCGCTGGCCGCGCCGCCGTCGCCGTCAACATCGTCGCCAGAGCATCGCTACTATCATCGTCGCGTCTACCGTCGTCGACGTTGCCATGGCGCCGCGCCCGCCCAAGTCGCCGCCCCGCGGCGAAGTGCCCGCCGGGGCGTGCTCAGCGGTCAGCGCCACCGCTGCCGCGTCGACCGCGCCCAATTTGCTGGCCGCCGCGCGCGCGCGCTGGCTGGCGCGGCCGTGGAGATACGCCGGCCGGCGCCAAGCATTCATCCAAATCAAATCCGCATGGGTTTTGCACACCAAATTGCGGGTGGGCGGGCGGGGCGGTTGTAAGAGCATCGAATGTGCATAATCATTTGTGAGCATCAATTCTACCATACATATTCTTCGCTGTTAAGAAAGATTCGATTATGCCCGCGCCCCCCCCTGGACTTATCGGTCGTTGGTTTCGTTTGCGAAGTCGAATATGATCTTGACCTGTCGCCCAGTCCCTGCCAGGCCGACAGCGACCCGCCCGCCGTCCCTTGCCGGAAATATTACGCGCACGCTCTCGTTTAATTGTCAGAAGTCCCTTGTAACAGAACAGGGCGAAGTTTGCGCGCGCGGCGTCGCGCGCCCGCGTCGAAACCCGCCCAAACTTTACGGTTGCGCAAGGGCGTCAAAATCGAGTGACCAAACAACACGTAAGAACACGCGGCTTGGCAATGACATTTCTCGAAACAAAGAATACAACAGCGCGCGCCCGCGCACATGCGAATTATTTCGAACCCTCGCGTGATTCAGCACTTGCATGAACATGTTACAAAATTTGCCCCTCGCGCGCGCGTCGACATCGCTCGGGCGCCCTCGCGCGCGCGCTGTCGCGAGAAAACCTGGCGTAAAACTTGGCGAAGTGCACGCGCGCGAGCACCGAAATCCTGC